AGCTCTTTCAAGAGATTGTGGTATTGCGTTGTTGAACGCTCCCTCTATATCCAGAAACGCACAAACCAAGATTTCTTTATCCTGCAGCGTCCTGGATACTCTACCAACTAAGTTGTGTAGAGCCAATTCTGCTGATTTTCCCGCTTGATAAGCATACTGGTGGCGACTCAGTGGACCAGATACCAATGGCACCGTACGGATATACCGTTCCAGAACTTTTTCAAGGGTTTTCAGCAGAAATGACGTTAGGCTGATGGGTCGAAAGGCATTAGAAGTAGGGACCGAACGGCCCGCTTTGGGTATGTAAGATACCCGTACCTTAGTCCATTCTGCCGGCACATATTTCCAGGCGACACTCGCTCTGAAAATTTTTACCAAAATTGGCAACAACAAAGACCTCCCCTGCTGTAACAAAGCAGGAAAGATATTGTCTTCTCCAGGCGATTTGAACGGCTTAAACGTTTGAATTGCCTGGTCCACGGATGTGTAAGTGACGACTTTTCTAGCCACACTCCAATCCGTATTTGAGGGGCGCTTTGCCTTGCAGGAATAGCCCTTTTTTTTTTTAAAGAGGGGATTAGGAAATCTGCTAAATAGACACCCGGCCTAAGTTGTCATGCGGCCGGATAGTGTCGAGTTGGCTTCCCTCTTGGGTTGCCGACCGACTAAAACCCTTCCCCCTCTTCTCCGGAACCGCCCATATGAGCATTACTTCGGAGTTATTCGGTTGCCTAGCTTGTTTACGTTCTCTTCATTTAAAATTCTGTTCTATCTCGCCCCGTCCTGGATTTCAATCTTCTTTCTGCTCATCTTTATTTGTCCAGGCTCTCCCATCACTCGACCAGTCCCTATCTCATTCGTCATTTCCGTTCCTCCAGGATTCCAAACTTCTTTTCCACTCATCTTCATTGGTCTGACTCGCCCCTGACTCGACCGCTCGCAGTCTCGTTCGTCATCCGCTGACGTCACTCTCATTTTTTATGGAGGAAAAATAAGCTAATTACTTTTTGAATTTGCTTTCATTTTTTCACATACCCGGTTGTGGAGGGGCGGTCCCTCCTCATGTTCCTCTTCTTCTTCCTATATCCCAATTCTCCCAGTCAACAGGGGGCTCGTTCTTGTGGCTCTTCCTAACTACGAATTCTCCTCATTCATTATGGTGGAAAGACATATATGTTACTTTTTTGAAATAATTATTTATTCATACATACCCGGCTGAGGGGGATGATCCCCCTCTCGTTCTCCTGGGGGGGTTGATCGTTGATTCTCTTCGTTGGTTATCATTAAAGCCACACAGTTTTCTTCAGTGGGATTTACGCCACAGGCCTCTCTACACTCTCTTCTCGCGTCATTGAAATGCTCACAAGAGAACAGTGTGTGCCCTGGTGTGTCCGTCTCTCCGCAAAACCAGCACTCGTCAGACCCGAAGGTTCCGTGCCCCGTCAGACCCTGTGTCAGATAGAAGTCAACCTCTCCCCACTTTCTTTGGAACCACAATTCTAGATCAGGGATCATCTTCTTCGCCCATCCGAAATACGTTGACCATATGTCTTTCCATTTCTTCATCACCCTTCTTCTGGCCTCTAATTTATATTCCTTTCCTCTTAGGAATAATTCTACCCTCTCTTCAACCAACAGGTGTATTGGTGGGACTCCTGCAACAACTTCTATGGCCGTTGCTGATACGGTTCGATAAGCTGATGCTATGCCAATAGCTAGTCTTCTATTTACAACTTCTAGCATATTTCTATACCGTTTGTGTTCTAAAATTCTGTACCAAGTTGACGCTGCATATAAGATAACCGACACTACCGCTGTTGCTAGGAGTCTCCGTCGTCTGGCGGTCTGGCCTCCCATATTTGGCATTACTCTCATGAGTATATTTGATATTTGTGTAGCTCTTTTAGTTGTCTCTATTACATGTTTTGTCATTTTCATGTCTTTGTCGATATATACTCCCAGATATTTGACTTTGTCAGCGCTACTTATTTCCCTCCCATTCACCTTCAAATTCATACTTCTCAATTTTCTTCGTCCCTGAAGCAAAAGCAACTCCGTCTTGTGAGCTGCGACCTTCAGCCCCATTTCTTCCAGTTCTACTGCGTATTTCGTCTTATCTTCCAATTGCACGCCGTTTCTTCCTCTAACCACCAATGCCAGGTCATCTGCATACGCAATTAATTCAACACCCTCCACAAACTTCATTCTGAGTATCCTATCATAATATATATTCCATAATAAAGGACCGAGGAGCGATCCTTGCGGAACTCCGCAGGTCACTTCATATGTTTTATTTGACGCCAATATTGATCTCTCGCTTAAATACGATTTTACCATGTTTACCAGGTAATTGCTGATTTTGCCTTCCACCATTGCTCTTATAATGTAGATCCACGGAACTGTATTAAATGCATTTGCTATGTCTAGCAATACCATAGCACACACGTCTCGATTTTTTAGTGATTTTTCTTTAATGCTATCTACGATTCTCTGCACTCTTTGTATTGCATTTATCGTGGACCTACCCTTCCTGTAGCCGTATTGGTTTTCGCTTAGTAGTTTGCTTTCATCTATCTCCTTTTGTATTCTTTCTCTTACTAAGCTTTCCAGTAGTTTTCCTATCGTATTTATAAGGCATATTGGTCGGTATGTCGTATTGACCCCAGGTTTAGGAGGTTTATCGATAAGAACCAATTTGGCCGTCTTCCAGATCTTTGGAAATTCACCTTTTGTTAAACATCTGTTATATACTTCCAAAAAGGACTGTGGATACTTTGTTGCCATAATTATCAGCACCTCAGGGGTGATTCCATCTAAGCCTGGCGCCTTTTTTTTGCTTATCCGTGTTATCGCTAATAGTAATTCGCCCTCCGTAAATGGCGTAATATTCTCCTGCTCCGAGATCTCAGCAAACTGTCATATAATTGTATCATGTTGTGGGAATAACTTTTGTACTTCTGCTTCCACTACTTAAGCCTTTCTCCAGACGTCATCATTCAAGTCTTCACATAACTCTCTCCATTTCCTTACTTTACTTTCAATTATTAACCTCTTTAGTTCTTTCTTTGCCGATTTATATTGTGTTCTAAAGTTTACCACATCTTGTGCATTTTGTTGAGACTTTCCTAACGTTCTTGTAATTTTTCTTCTCATCTTTATACATTCCTTTCTCTTCTTTGCGATGTTGTCATTCCACCAGTAAACTGGTTTCTGTTTCACAGTGGTTCTTCTTTTTTGCTCAGATGCTTATCACATAGGCGAACGACGTTCTTTATTAAATTTTCTGCCGTCTTGTCTTGACCGGCTTCAAACAACTCTGTGTCATCTTCTTTTAACTTGTGTAATGACGCTTCTGTCATTTGCCATGTTATGGCTGCTTGTTCCGTTGAAGGTTTAACATTTTCTTTGAGAATAAAGTTAAAAGATATTGTGCGATGATCGCTCAGGTTCTCGTTTTCCACCTCCACCGTCCAGCCTTCAATCATTTTTCCCACCTCCACCGTAGCGGCTGTAAAATCGATAAATGATTCTCCCGCCGGTCCAGAGAACGTGGGTGTATTTCCTTCGTTCAGTGTCACCAGGTCATTAGCCGCCAGCCAATCCTCAAATATCTTTCCTCTCTGGTCCGTTCTAATAGAACCCGTTTGCACTGACTTCGCGTTCAGGTCTCCTCCGATAATTACACCTTTACGGGCTTGTTTAAGATACAATTGCACACTATGTAAAAACACTTTAAAATCATCTAAACATTTATTTGGGGAAAAATAACACGAAACCAAACACAACGATTCTAACTCCACACACACAAATCCCTCTTCGGCAAAAAAGCCTATCACAGATGTGTTTTTGTAAATATTAATAAAACTATCACAGCACTTATCACAAAAATGTTTACCGTTGTATTTAATATTCGGTTCGCATCCAATAATAATATCAATTTCCTTTTCCTGAACTGTTTGCTCCATGAGCTCATGTGCCGCTCTACACCTATTAAAGTTTAATTGTGCGAATCTTATTGTCTGTGCAGCCATTGGTTTTTGAGTCATTTTTAATTTGAATTTGTTGCCTGCGTTTACTGAGCCTGCTTAACTTCTTTGGCCCATTCTTTTCTCCAATACTGTCTCTCTGCATTCCTCCGTATGTTCAATTCCATTTTAAATTCCTCACATTTTCCAGCGCCGGCTTTATGCCCTTCCTGGTTACATATCGGACAATGCTCTTCATTTTGGCAGTCTCTTAGAACGTGCCCCTCCTTGCCGCATTTAAAACATAGTTTTCCCCTATCAGGGTCGGAGCAATCTCTGCTAGAATGTCCAAAACCCCAGCACTTAAAGCATCTTTGTATGTTAATTCTTCTCTCTATTTCACATCTTGTGAAACCAATTTTAATGTTCCTATGTTTTAATAGTATTTCGGCTCCCTGCTTGTCTATTTTTACTGAGATTGCTCTCGTTTCATCTAGCATCGGTCTTAGCTCACCTAGCTCCATTTTACAATTCGTTTTCCCTATTATCTCTTGTATGGCTGTCTGAATCTCTTCCTTATCTGCCAAAGCGTCCATACCTCTTATGTGTATAATCTCTTTGTTTCCATCACCAAATTGCTTTACGTGGATTGATTCGTTGCTTTTAATAATAGCATCCTTTACTTTTCCCATTACTTTGGCGTCTTTATCCATGGTGATTATCAATTTGCCTTCTTTCGTGCTTTTGTACGTCATTTTAATGATCTTCCGGCGTTTCGTTTCCATTTGGTCTTTCGTCTTGATTTTATATATTTGTTCAATGACACCTATCTCTTCCTCAATGTCTTCCACGTCAGGATATCTTGTTTTGATCCTTTTTTGTATTCCCCTCTCCATTTTGGGGTCTTCCGGATCTACTAGTACTACTAGTACAGTGTTATCTTTATTATGTAGCGGGTTTCCTCGTCTTATTTCCGTATTTTCGAAGCTTTCTTCCGTCCATCTTTCTTCTCTTATCTTTTCAAAATCCTCGTATGTTTCTATTTTTTCTTTCAGTGTATACAGTCTCTCATTCACTGTTTGAGTTTCTTGGTCATTTTTCTCTACCTTATTTTTCCCCTGTTCCACTCTCCATTCAATATTACTTTGTATCTTATCTATTTGTTTATTTAATGCCTGCATTTTTTCTTCTCTCTCTTTTTCCTCTTTCTCGTNTTTATATTAGCAGTCTTTAAAAATCACGACAAAAGTAACCGAAATACGTGAAATCAGAGATATATAAACTTTGATAATTTTTTTTTACTTAAATACGTCATATAAAAATAAACCTTATGTTAATTATTAAAATCTGACATTTCTACTATAGGATTCAATTGAAAAAAGAAATACATTACGACTTTATGATCAGCAAACGGCTCAAATTGCCCATAGTGCACCGGTCCAGAGAACGTGGGTGTATTTCCTTCGTTCAGTGTCACCAGGTCATTAGCCGCCAGCCAATCCTCCAGGAATAGCCCGCTGTGGCATTATCGGCCCTCATCATCAGGCTTCCTGTTAAGTGAGTCTGCATGAGAAGCTTCAACGAGGCTCTGCTAGAGTCCGTAAAACTACCGTCAGGCCGCCTAAGTGAGCCCAGGGGTAGTGCCGGATCTCTGGCGAGATTCTTGTGAATTCTTGCACTGCTGGGTGTGTCTTTCACTCCCTCACAGAACCTCCTCCAAGACTCTCTTTTTGCCTTACGTATGTTTTTGGTGTAATTCGTTAGAGCCTGGTTTATATTTCTGGAGCTAACTCTTCTATAAGCAGTATCTAGTTATCTGCAAGCAACTAGAAGATAGATAATCTAAATAATAATAATATCTAATCCTTCGTATGCAGCTCCTAGTCTTCCAATCTTCTGAAAGCATTAAATACACTTCTATTAATCCATTAATTAATTCTATTAAGTAATCTTCTGCACACAATATCTGCTATGCTACTAGTATCTAATCTGGTAGTATCTAGCCTTTTACCAATAATAAGTGAGTTTCTGCCAACTGTACCAGGTCTTTCATAAGCAGTATCTAATCTTTTGTATGCATTATCTGGTCTTCTGCAAGCAATATCTACTCTTTTGCAAGCAGTATTTGCTTTTCTGCCAACAGTATCTAGTCTAATGGTTCTAATACGTGGTTAGTTTTCCAATAGCGTTCGATAACTATTTTTTTTTTAATTATAGATGTTTGTAAGTGCAATGGGAGTTCCTGGAGGTGGCGCCAACATGGTAACACCTCGATTCCTTCGCCACATGCAAGTAATTTGTATGGATTCCTTTGAAGACGCCACCCTATCAAAAATATTCGGAGCTCTCATCGAATGGCATTTCTCAAAAGGTTATGAAGACGACGTTTTTAGATTTTCAAAGAATTCGGTTGGAGCAACGATGGATGTTTACCACCAAGCCATGGACACTTTCCTTCCAACCCCGACAAAAGCCCATTACATGTTTAATCTTCGCGATTTCGCGCGGGTTATTAAAGGATTAATGTTGACTCCCCCTGCGAGAATGAAAGATCCCGATAAATTAGTACGACTGTGGGTTCACGAAACCTACAGGGTGTTTAATGATCGGTTAATTAACGACGAAGATAAGTAAATTATTTATTATTGTGTTATGTGATAATATTTTATTAACGAATTTATTTATTTTTTTAGAGCAATATTTTTTCAAATCGTTGTTAATTCTTGTTATCAAAACTTCCGGAAACCTTTGGATAAAGTCTTAGTTGATTTTATTCCTGAAGATGGAACTTTGAATACGACTGTTATAAGAGACATATTCTTTGGAAATTACGGCGATCCAGATGCTGATCCAAAAATTTATGATGATGTAAAACTAATTAATTAATTAATTAATTAAGGTTAAAACTTTATTAATTTTTTTTTAGATTTTAGATTTGGACGATTTAACAGAAAAAATGAATTATTACCTAAACGAATTCAATATGGTCTCAAAATCCCCCATGAATTTAGTCATGTTTAAGTTTGCAATCGAACATGTTTCGAGAGTTTCGCGGGTTTTGCTTCAAGATAACGGAAACGTACTTTTAGTGGGAATTGGAGGATCGGGGAGACATAGCGCTGTGAAATTGGCCTCTTCAATGGCTGAATATTTATTGTTTGAAATTGAAATATCTCGGAATTACGGCCCAAACGAATGGAGGGATGATATAAAGCGTTTGTTATTAAACGCTGGCTGCGAGGGAAAACGCACAACATTTTTATTCTGCGATACTCAAATCGCCGATGAATCTTTCGTTGAAGATATAAATATGATATTAAATACGGCTGATATTCCAAATTTGTATCAACCCGATGAAAAAGTCGAAATTTTAGAAAAGATGCAAAACGCCGCTAGGGATAGTGGAAAAAAAATTGACTCAACTCCGTTAGCTTTGTATAATTTCTTTATTGATCGGGTTAAGAAACATCTTCACATTGCTTTGGCGATGTCGCCGATAGGTGAAGCTTTTAGGAAAAGATGTCGCATGTTTCCTTCTTTGGTGAATTGTTGCACCATCGATTGGTTCACTAATTGGCCCCCGGATGCCTTGGAAAGAGTAGCCGATATGTTCTTAAAACAAACCGATTTAGTAGAAGACATGATTGGAAAATGTACCATAATGTGTCAACACTTTCACACAGCCGTTGAAACAGCCTCCGCAAATTTCTTCCGAGAACAAAAACGCAAAACCTACGTCACCCCAACATCTTACTTAGAATTAATCCAAACCTTTAAAAGTTTATATTACCTAAAAGTTGAACAAATCACCTTGCAACAACAACGTTACGAAACCGGCTTAGATAAATTAGATTTCGCCGCCAGCCAAGTTGGCACAATGCAAGAGGAATTACATGCGTTACAACCAAAATTGGTTGTAGCTTCAGCAAAAACAGAAAAGCTCATGGTTAAAATAGAACAAGACACCATCGTTGTTGAGAAAAAAAAGGAAATAGTAGGAGCTGACGAAGCTTTAGCCAACGAAGCTGCAGCTGCAGCTCAAGCTATCAAAGACGATTGCGAATCAGATCTCGCCGAAGCCACCCCCGCTTTAGAAGCAGCCGTTGGAGCTTTAGACACATTAAAACCCGCCGATATCGTCATCGTAAAATCCATGAAAAACCCACCTTTCGGGGTTAAATTAGTCATGGAATCCGTTTGCGTAATGAAAGGAATCAAACCGGATCGAAAACCCGATCCATCAACCGGCAGAATGGCCGAAGATTATTGGGGGCCATCCCAAAAATTATTAGGAGACATGAAATTTTTGGAAGGATTAAAAACTTACGATAAAGACAACATCCAACCAGCCATAATGAAACGAATTCGAGACAAATACATCCCCGATCGAGAATTCGACCCGGAACGTATTCATTCGGTTTCGACGGCTTGCGAAGGTATTTGTAAGTGGGTTCGAGCTTTGGAAGTCTACGATAGAGTCATCAAAATTGTCGCGCCGAAAAAAGCGCGATTAGCTGAAGCCGAAGGTGAATTAGCGGCACAAATGGAAACGTTAAACGGGAAACGGGCTCAATTACAAGAAGTCGCCGATAAGTTACAAGCGTTAAACGATGAATTCGCCTCGGAAACGAGGAAAAAGAAAGACTTGGAAGATGATATCAATCTTTGCTCGCAAAAATTAGAGCGAGCCGAGAAATTAATTGGGGGGTTGGGGGGCGAAAAACAACGTTGGTCAGATACCGCTAAATATTGTCATAGCTTATTAGGCAACGTAATCGGAGATGTTTTATTATCAGCTGGAATGGTTGCTTATTTAGGACCATTTACGGTTGATTATCGACAAAATATTATTAAAGCGTGGAATGTGAAATGTTTGCAATTAGCTATACCATGTTCGGATCCATTTTCTTTAGGTATGTATCGGGTGTTCATTAAGTTCCCGTAATTTTTTTTTAGATATTTCAACAGGCTATAACTACCACACAATTCAATAAAGCATATTCAATACATTTTTTTCCAAAATTTCTACTGTAATCTCGTCCCAGACGCGTACTACAGCCGCAACCATACTGCCATTGGTGACAGAAAACTGGATACTGCTTGCAGCAGGTTAAATATTGCTGCCAAAAGGCTACATACGTCTTGAAGATGACTATATTAGTGACTGAAGACTGGCTACTGCTCCCAAAAAGGCTAGATATTGCTGCCAGAAGACTACATACTTTTTGCACATGATTATATTGGTGGCAGAAAACTGGATACTACTTCCAAAAGACTAGATACGGCTGCTAGAAGAGCAGTAGCACATAGTGGTACGTACGTACCAGAACCATAGTACCTGAGTAAGATGGACTTTACTCCGTTTGGCCCGTCTTTGCCCCAAAAGCCAAGAAACAACTCTTCACAAATGCTTCAAAACATTAGTTTGGAAGGAAGAGAGGAAGAGTTGTAATATTTAGGGACAAAATTACATTCAAATTCAATGCAAATTAATTAACGTCTAAAACAAAGTTTGGGAACTTTTTGAACCCCCTATATACAGGGTGTCCCGTTAAGCGTACGGAGCGGCTGTATCTCAACAACGGTAAGGACTAGAGGTTTGGGAAAAAAATCCTTATAAGCAAAGTGGGCAAGAGAAATAGCTGGAAATTATTTTGAAGTTCGTAATTCGACCGCTAGGGGGCGTAACTGCCATAGAGAAACATAAAATTCCCGCTATCTCAGAAAGTTAGACGATGAGCTAGAACTTTGACAACATCATTTAATAGCTTGGATAATACCGCATCGCTTTTGTTTTGCGATATTTCTCATATCTGTCATAATAAGGGAGGGGGAGGCCAATGCGTTTTNTTCCGTAATCGCTAAGTCAATCTTAAAAACACTTCTAGAGAAAAATGTCTTTCTTTGTCGTAATTGCATTGCACATTTTTGCCATGCAGTTGCATCGTATTCAAAACATTGAAAATAAATCATCATACGCTCTATCATACGCTTCTGCGTTAGTAAATGACATGTTTACAGTTACCATGGTTATGTGATTTGTTTTTGTCGATGAGGTAACTGGATCCGATTGATGGTACTCGAGTTTTTAACATTTTCTTGTATAATTCGAGAACGGGTGGCTATATCGAGATGCGGTTTTCACTAAAATTTAGCAAATTTTAAGGTGACTAAGGGTCTGTGAAGTAAATAGTATCGTTCCATTTAACTTTTCTTCAAAAATCACAAAAATATGTAATCGCTGCAGATAACGCCCTCTAGCTCATTTGTTTTCAAGCAAACGGTCTGACTGAAAATATCTTTAAAAAGAGCATAAAATGCTCTTTCAAACAACACCGAAAATATTCAAATCCGTTGAATGGTCTAGGAAATATTAAAATGTAAACATATGAAAACGCATTGGCCTCCCCCTCCCTTATTATGACACATATGAGAAATATCGCAAAACAAAAGCGATGCGGTATTATCCAAGCTATTAAATGATGTTGTCAAAGTTATAGCTCATCGTCTAAGTTTCTGAGATAGCGGGAACTTAATGTTTCTCAATGGCAGTTACGCCCCCTAGCGGTCGAATTACGAACTTTAAAATAAATTTTCGGCTATTTCTCTTGGTCACTTTGCTTATAAGGATTTTTTCCCCAAACCTCTAGGCCTTAACGTTCTAGAGATACAGCCGCTCCGTACGCTTAACGGGACACCTGTACAGGGTGTTCCGGTGACTCGGGGCATAAAATTAACCTCATATAGTAGAGCAAAAATGATGACGATTCGTGAAAAAAAATTATTATAAAAGTTTTCAAATGGCCAAGATATGGGCCATCAAAGTTCAAAAATTTTAACACATTTTTCTAAATATTTTCAATACAATTTATGGTAGAGCGTTGAAATTTGGTACAAATATCAAGCAAAATCATTGAACCAATTTTGACTTTGATCGGGCGGCGGCAACCATGCTATACAGGCTGTCCCTAAAATTTGTTTGCTCAGAACTTTTTTGTTCACTGGTAACCCTACATTTATTTTTGTACTTTTTAATAGAAAATTTATTTTAGAAAGTTTTATCACTCTTTGAAAATTTTGATAACATTGACCGTTTCCGAGTTATACGCGAAAATATTAAGCTTCGATTTCAATGTAACACTAAAAAACAGAGTCTTCGAAAAAGTCAAGATTGGCCATGGCAATTAAAAAAAACAACTTGCTGTCAACCATGGTGTGCAATCTCACTACTATAAAAATGTAGACCCAGGTTTTAGTACCCTCACAATCCATTGGATGTCGTTGTAGACTGAATTTGTAGCAATCTGCATTATCTACACAAACAAAGCGCTTGTAACCATAGAAAAATTTATATGTCACGTCAAACCCGTCAAACTCAAAGGTGACAGCAAACGTCACATTTTTGTTTTGTCGTTTGGTGTGATAACTGGTGATAACCCAGTGTATATTCTTTCTTACTTTCCTTTGGCTTAGTGTTTTATATCCTTTAGTTAAGTGTTTAAATAAGTTAGGGCCACATTTACCACCTCTTCATAAGTTTATCCGATAGATAAATTGGCGCTCTTAAATGAGAGCAATATACATATATTATATTTAAAATTATGAATTTTATCTTGGAAAAACTATAAATTCATATTTTTTTGCATTTATTTGTAAAATGTACTTGACCTCTTCAAAATAAAGTATTGGTATAAACCGGTATAGAAATACCTATATTTAAATTTCGCGCTTTAACCTAATTAGTTCCCTCACAATCCCCTTGGGAGCGCTCAATGTACCAAAAAATAGTGGGGAGATGACCTTCTATATACATAATATATATAAATTTTTCTATGCTGTCAACTTGCTCATGTCGTTTAAACACAAACGATAGTTCTGTTAGTTATTATTAATTTTAAGTGTTCAAAATGGAGAGTTACACATTTAGTGAACAAACTGACATGATTTTGACATTAGGGCAATGTCAAGCAGCCGCTAACCGTTATCAGGAGAAATTTTCGAACCGCAGAGCGCCCAATCGAAAAACATTTTTAAGGATTGAAACCCGTTTAAGGGAAAATGGGACGTGTAAGCCGAAATTTACTAACAACGGTAACGTAAGATCAGCCCGAACACCCGAACTAGAAGAAGATATTCTAGACTACGTAGAAGAAAATACTACAGCTAGTACTTTAGATATGGCGAGGCATTTTTTAACTTCAAAAACAACTGTCTGGCGTGTTCTTCACGAGCAACAGCTTTATCCATTTCATTGTTACAAAGTTCAGGAAGTTCGACTGGCTGATTACTCACTGCGACTGCAATATGCAATATGCAGTCTGCATATTGCCAAATAATGCAGCACAAAATCCAAATTGATGATCAGTTTTTAGAAAAAGTACTTTTTACAGATGAATCCACTTTTTCTAAAGATGCAATCTTCAATTTGAGAAATTTACATAGTTGGGCGGACGAAAATCCAAGATTTAAGAAAACTTGGAAATCACAATGGAGATTTTCTCATAACGTTTGGGCTGGAATTGTGGGCGATGTAATTATTGGACCCGTTTTCTTGCCAGCAAGGCTGGATGGACATACATACAGGCGACATTTAGAAGAATTAGATGTTTTTTTAGATGACGTTCCTTTAAAGACAAGGCAAGCAATGTGGTATATGCATGATGGTGCTCCTGCGCATAGCACACAGGCTGTCCAAGAATTTATGAGGGAACATTTTCCGGGACGGTGGATTGGACGAGGAGTAAGTGCACCCATAAGTTGGCCCCCCGATCGCCGGATCTTACACCTGTAGATTTTTATTTATGGGAACGCGTTAAACCACTAGTTTACTGCGTTGAAATAACTTCAGTTGATCAACTGAGGTTGCAAATTGTTGATTCATTTGATCAACTTCGAACTGAGATCAATGTTCTCCGCAGAGTGCGCTTTAATTTAAGACGGCGATATCAGGCAGTGTTTTTGAACATCTGCTTTAGTATTTTTTTCTTCTTTTTTATTTATTACTATTTGTTTATAATTTTATTGTTCTTGTTAAAATTTTTGTTATGTTCTTGTTTGTTGTTACCGTGAAAATTAAATTTATCGTTTTGGAGATTACATTCTTTTATTCAAGTAAAATAAATTAACACTGGATTTAACTAAATCTGCACTTAGAAATTTATGCAATTAATGGTTATTAGCTCAGTTCGTTTTTCAATTGTCATCGCCAACTCAGATCTTGCGGAATATGTTTCTTTTTTTTGTTTGTTACGATTGAAATCAAAGCTTAACATTTTCGCGTATAACTCGAAAACCGTCAATATTATCAAAATTTTCAAAGAGTGATAAAAGTTTCTAAAATAAATTTTCTATTAAAGAGTACAAAAATAAATGTAGGGTTACGAGCGAACAAAAAAGTTCTGAGCAAACAAATTTTAGGGACAGCCTGTACAGCATGGTTGCCGCAGCCCGATCAAAGTCAAAATTGATTCAATGATTTTGCTTGATATTTGTATACCCTCTACCAAATTTCAACGCTCTACCATAAATGGTATTGAAAATATTTAGAAAAATGTGTTCAAATTTCTGAACTTTGATATTTTGGCCATTTGAAGACTTTTATAATAATTTTTTTTCACGAATCGTCATCATTTTTGCTCTAGTATATGAGGTTAATTTTATGCCCCGAATCACCGGAACATCCTGTATATATATAGAGTATCTTCTAAATATTTTATTGATTCTTACTTCTCTTTTTTAGTACTAACATTAGGTGAACCAGTGGTAATAAGAGCTTGGAATATTGCCGGTTTACCCGTTGACAACTTCAGCGTTGAAAATGGAATAATATCAACGATGGCACGCCGATGGCCCTTAGCAATTGACCCTCAAGGTCAAGCAAATAAATGGATAAAAAATATGGAAAAACACCGACGTTTACAAGTGATTAAATTAACTGACTCAAACTATGTTCGCACCGTTGAGAACGCCATAACTTTCGGTTTACCCGTAATCTTAGAAAACATAGCCCAAGAAATCGATGCAGTTTTAGAGCCGGTTTTGGTTAAAAATATTTTTAAATCCGCCGGATGTTTCTATTTGAAGTTGGGTGACAGCGTTTTAGAATACAACTTTGATTTTCGCTTTTATATAACGACCCGATTAAGAAATCCTCATTATTTGCCGGAAGTTGCGGTTAAAGTGACCTTGGTTAATTTTATGATTACCCCTCAAGGGCTTCAAGATCAATTATTGGGAATTGTCGTTGCGATGGAACGCCCGGAATTGGAGGAGAAAAAGAATGAAATGATCGTTGAGGGTGCTAACAATAAAAAGATGTTGAAAGAAATCGAAGATCAAATTTTGCAAGTTTTATCGTCATCGGAGGGGAATATTTTAGAAGATGAAACTGCGATTAGGATTTTATCATCAAGTAAAATTCTGTCAGAAGAAATTCAAGAAAAACAAAAAATCGCCGCTGTAACTGAAGTTGAAATCGATAACGCTCGAAATTCTTATATCCCAGTTTCAAAGCATTCCTCAATTTTATTTTTTTGCATCTCCGAATTGGGCAATATTGACCCAATGTATCAATCTTCATTATCTTGGTTTATCAACCTTTATACTCAATCGATTATTCATAGCCCAAAATCAGACGATTTAGCTACAAGATTAAACACTTTAAACGAACATTTCACCGCGAGTATTTACAAAAATGTTTGCCGATCACTTTTCGAAAAAGACAAATTAATTTTTTCTTTTGTATTAACCGTTGGTATTTTGAGAGCTCGAGGACAAATCGAAGAAGATGTTTTTAACTTTTTGTTAACGGGCGGTGTTGCTTTAAGTAATCCATATCCCAATCCTGCTCCGGATTGGTTAACTGAAAAATCATGGTCGGAAGTGGTTAGGGCTACAAACCTCACCGGGATGGATGGTTTTCTACAAGCAGTACAAAAAAGTCCGAAGGAATGGAAAAATTATTACGATGTTAGTAATCCGCATGATATTCCATGTCCGGCTCCTATGAATAAATTAAAGGGGTTACAACGTTTAGTGGCAGTTAGATGTATTCGGCCGGATAAAGTTGTCCCAGCTGTTCAAGTAAGTAATTAATTTGGTTAATACTTTTTTTTTAGTTCTCTACAATTACTATTCTGGGAACTACACTTTATCAGAATTTAGAAACGTATTACTATATTTTTTGCAAAAATATATAGGGTGTTCCATTTAAAAAAATCATTTCTATGTCAATAACTACTAAAATATTGCTTTGAGGGAAAGCTAACTTATTCCATCGAAATGTACATAAAAAGTTGCTTTGAAAATGTTCTCTGAAACCGTAAGAGATATCGATATACGGTTTTCGCCATTAAGTTTCTTATAAAAATCGAGCTTCAGACAGTAATATCATTTTTCCTCTTATATCATCTCTTATAGAAAAAGGAGTGTGCCTTTAAAAGTGTTAATTTGGCCCACCTTCGTTTTTGATATACAGGGAGTCCTATATCTCAGCTATCCGTAAACGTAAAAACGGGTTCTAATAGATTTTTTCACATGGTTATAACTCAAACCGTGATGACTAGAAAAATTCTACTGCACCATTGGATTCCACGTGAAAAAATGCATTAGAACCCGTTTTTACTTTCTTACTAAGTTTCCGGATAGCCGAGATACAGGAGGTGTCTGAAAATCATAAATTTCAAACACTCCTGTATATCAAAAACGAAGAGGGCTATGAAAGTTTGGTTTGCGCCATTGTAAGTTTCACAAAAAAGTAGCTACCCTGCAAACCCATCGAAATTTGGACATCCTGTACATGCACTCTACTACCTCGGCAGCATAGCTGCCTCGGTACCAAATAGTATATCGTTGCAAAAAGTAAACTTTACAGCCTATTCGTCGACTATTAGTGTAATTGCCCCGCTGCTTATAAAATGATGCGTTGATGATTAGTAGTGCTGATTGTACTACTGCCTCAACAGCAAAGCTGCTGCGGCTATTATATAACAAGGTTCACTTCAATAACATTTAATATTCTTTTAAATATACTTACACACTACTACCTCGGCAGCGCAGCTGCCTCGGTTCCAAATAATATATTGTTGCAAAAAGTAAATTTTACAGTTTATTCTTCGTCTATTACTGCAACTGCCTCGGTAGCAAAGCTACCTCGGCTTTTAAATTGATACGTTATTTTTAAAAAGTAAGATTTACTGTTTAGTTTTAAACTGATTACACTACTGCCTCAGCAGCAAAGCTGCTTTGGCTATTATATAACAAGGTTCACTTCAATAACATTTAATATTTTTTTAAATCTACTTACACACTACTACCTCGGCAGCACAGCTGCCTCGGTTCCAAATAATATATTGTTGCAAAAAGTAAATTTTACAGTTTATTCTTCGTCTATTAGTGCAACTGCCTCGGCAGCAAAGCTACCTCGGCTTCTAAAATGATACGTTATTTTTAAAAAGTAAGATTTACTGTTTAGTTTTAAACTGATTGCACTACTGCCTCAGCAGCACAGCTGCTTCGGCTATTACATAACAAGGTTCAGTTCAATAACATTTAATATTTTTTTAAATCTACTTACACACTACTACCTCGGCAGCACAGCTGCCTCGGTTCCAAATAATATGTTGTTGCAAAAAGTAAATTTTACAGTTTATTCTTCGTCTATTAGTGCAACTGCCTCGGCAGCGAAGCTACCTCGGCTTCTAAAATGATATCTTATTTTTAAAAAGTAAGATTTACTGTTTAGTTTTAAACTGATTGCACTACTGCCTTAGCAGCAAAGCTGCTTCGGCTATTACATAACAAGGTTCAGTTCAATAACATTTAATATTTTTTTAAATGTACTTACACACTACTACCTCGGCAGCACAGCTGCCTCGGTTCCAAATAATATGTTGTTGCAAAAAGTAAATTTTACAGTTTATTCTTCGTCTATTAGTGCAACTGCCTCGGCAGCAAAGCTACCTCGGCTTCTAAAATGATACGTTATTTTTAAAAAGTAAGATTTACTGTTTAGTTTTAAACTGATTGCATTACTGCGTCAGCAGCACAGCTGCTTCGGTTATTACATAACAAGGTTCAGTTCAATAACATTTAATATTTTTTTAAATCTACTTATACACTACTACCTCGGCAGCACAGTTAATTATTGAGATAATTAATCGCATTTTAATATACGAGTTAGTTACAATATTTTTCCGTTGACCGTCTTTTCAACAAAATAGAGAAAATCCATCGTTGAAAAATCTCCCAATTCTGTCACTAGCAAAATAACCTCACTTTTAATGTGTCATAATTTATTTTTGTAGTCTTACCGAATAGATATAGTGGTCGGTTGGGTCGGTATTACAAATTTCATTGGAGAATATTTATTAAATTGACTACTATTTAGTTCGGTCGGAATTTCTTAAAATCGTTTATTAATAGGTGTCATTAATGAATGATTTTGTATACATTTATAAATCTTATAAATACACGGTCGACGGAAAAGTAAATTTTACAGCTTATTCTTCGTCTATTAGTGCAACTGCCTCGGCAGCAAAGCTACCTCGGCACAAGGTTCATAACAAGGTTCAGTTCAATAACATTTAATATTTTTTTAAATGTACTTACACACTACTACCTCGGCAGCAAACCTGCCTCGGTTCCAAATGATATATTATTGTAAAATATAAGCTTTACTGCCTGTTCTCCGAGTATTTGTGTAACTGCCTCGGCAGCAAGGCTGCCTCGGCTTCTATAAAGATAAGTCCTTTTTGGAAAGAAAAGCTAAATGTTCAGTTTTCTACTGAGCAGCACAGCTGTTTTGGTTAGAATATCACATGATTAAGTCCAATAACAGTCTTCCGAGTATTAGAGCACCTGCCTCGGCAGCATAGCTGCCTCGGTTCCAAATGATATATTATTGTAAAATATAAGCTTTACTGCCTGTTTTCTGAGTATTTGTGTAAGTGCCTCGGCAGCAAGGCTGCCTCGGCTTCTATAAAGATAAGTCCTTTTTGGAAAGAAAAGCTTAATGTTCAGTTTTTTACTGAGCAGCACAGCTGTTTTGGTTAGAATATCACATGATTAAGTCCAATAACAGTCTTCCGAGTATTAGAGCACCTGCCTCGGCAGCATAGCTGCCTCGGTTCCAAATGATATATTATTGTAAAATATAAGCTTTACTGCCTGTTTTCTGAGTATTTGTGTAAGTGCCTCGGCAGCAAGGCTGCCTCGGCTTCTATAAAGATAAGTCCTTTTTGGAAAGAAAAGCTTAATGTTCAGTTTTTTACTGAGCAGCACAGCTGTTTTGGCTAGAATATCACATGATTAAGTCCAATAACAGTCTTCCGAGTATTAGAGCACCTGCCTCAGCAGCATAGCTGCCTCGGTTCCAAATGATATATTATTGTAAAATATAAGCTTTACTGCCTGTTTTCCGAGTATTTGTGTAACTGCCTCGGCAGCAAGGCTGCCTCGGCTTCAATAAGACTAAGTCCTTTTTGGAAAGAAAAGCTTTATGTTCCATTTTGTACTGAACAGCACAGCTGTTTTGGTTAGAATATCACATGATTAAGTCCAATAACAGTCTTCCGAGTATTAGAGCACCTGCCTCGGCAGCATAGCTGCCTCGGTTCCAAATGATATATTATTGTAAAATATAAGCTTTACTGCCTGTTTTCCGAGTATTTGTGTAACTGCCTCGGCAGCAAGGCTGCCTCGGCTTCAATAAGACTAAGTCCTTTTTGGAAAGAAAAGCTTTATGTTCCATTTTGTACTGAACAGCACAGCTGTTTTGGTTAGAATATCACATGATTAAGTCCAATAACAGTCTTCCCAGTATTAGAGCACCTGCCTCGGCAGCATAGCTGCCTCGGTTGAATTTAATTCAATAAATAATTTGAATGTGTAAATTTTTAAATTAATTTTTTGATTGATTTTAGCTTTACATAGGAGAGGAAATGGGTCAAGCGTATTTAGAACCACCCCAATTTAATTTACAAGAATCTTACAACGATAGTAACTGTTGTACTCCATTGGTATTTATATTATCAGCGGGATCGGATCCGATGGCCGGTTTAATTCGCTTCGCCGCAGATAAAGGAATACCGAAAACGGCCTTATTAACAATTTCCCTTGGACAAGGACAGGTATTTACCAATTATAACGATTTCAATTTCTTATTACCAAATTTTTAGGGTCCTATAGCTGCTGGAATGATAAATCGAGCTTTAGTAACTGGTCAATGGGTCGTGTTACAAAATTGTCACTTGGCAGAGAGTTGGATGCGCGAATTAGATCGAATTACTGATGAAGTTATCGTACCGGACGTGACGAATGTGTTATTCCGCTTATGGTTGACTAGTTACCCAAGTCGCGCATTTCCCGTTTCGATTCTACAAAACGGTGTTAAAATGACAAACGAAGCACCGAAAGGTCTTCGACAAAATTTGCTCCGTTCTTACTTGAACGATCCAATTTCGGACTCCACGTTTTACAACGCGTGTCCTAGATGGCGCGAATGGCAAATGTTATTATTCAGTTTGTGCTTTTTCCACGCTTTAGTTCAAGAACGAAAAAAGTTTGGTCCTTTAGGTTGGAACATTCCTTACGAATTTAACGAATCCGATTTGAGAATTTGCATACTTCAATTACAAATGTTTTTGACTGATTACAAAGACGTTCCATTTGAGGCGCTTACTTATTTAACCGGCGAATGCAATTACGGCGGACGAGTCACCGATGATAAAGATCGAAGATTATTAAATTCTTTATTATCAATGTTCTATGCACCCGAGGTAATTATAGAAAAGGATTACAAATTTTCTGAAAGCGGGACTTATTTTGTACCCGAAGATACATCTTATGAGGGGTGCATCAAATACATTAAAACTATGCCTTTAATTCCCCAACCGGAAGTTTATGGTTTACACGAAAACGCTGATATAACTAAAGATAATCAAGAAACATTGATGTTATTGCACGGGATTTTATTGACACAACCTCAAATTACTTCCGGCGGCGGCGGAGAAGGCGAAGACGAAGCTGTTATTGAATTATCAAAAAATATTAACTCAAAAATTCCTCAACAATTCAACATGGAGGAAGTATGCAAACAATATCCGGTTATGTACACGAATTCTATGAACACCGTTTTAAGACAAGAATTAATTCGGTTCAATCGCTTAACTTCGGTTATAAAGAGAACTTTAACCGACGTTGCCAAAGCGATAAAAGGCCTTGTTGTAATGTCATCGGAATTAGAAAACGTTTATTTGGCATTAATGGTTGGAAAAGTCCCGGAAGCGTGGTTAAGCAAAAGTTATCCGAGTTTAAAACCTTTGGGGTCATATATAAATGATTTTATAAGAAGGTATTTTAAATTTTTTTAGTTCAAAATTTTAATTCAAATTTAAAATTTAATTTTTAGATTAGATTTTTTGCAAGCTTGGATTGATAATAACGCTCCATCGGTATTTTGGCTGTCAGGGTTTTATTTCACCCAATCCTTTTTAACTGGCGTTCTACAAAATTATGCGAGAAAACAAAAATTACCCATCGATTTTGTGTTGTTTGAGTTTTATGTAACGAAATATGAAACCGATGCTCCACTTCCGGCGTTGGGTGTTCATTGTTACGTAAGTACAAGAATTTTTTTTTTTTTAATATAAGAAATAATGTTGAATTTGAGGTCGGTAGAATCTAAAAGTACTACTACATCTTTTACAAACAACACAACACAAAACTCATAAAATTATGTAATGTAAGACATCGTTTATTTACATTCTCTAAAACTGACGATTTGAGGCGAAATTGTGCATTACACAGTGCAACAACCATTCTGGGGGGTGAAAAATTCCAAGTCAGGATGAAAATACTAGGTCAATATAGTAAAACCTCCAAAGGGTTTGACGTTCCCAGGCCAACCTTTTTTTTATGACCTTTTATATTTCTTTCCTTATCTTGATATTTTTTTGCTTAGTTTTTCAGTTATAACTCTAGAATCGTTGATGATTTCTCATTTCATTCTTCAGCAAAGATTAGGGCTTAGCTAAGGCTTAAATAAATAATTTTCATTAATATATCCATGTAAAAAATTAAGTTGGAATAATTTTATCGACTGAAATTTTCAAAAAATTGCCAACTTTAGAAAAAAAAAATCTCTAGAATTGTAACTATAAAAGAGTATTCTAATATAAGTATACCGGGTGTCCCTCAAAGTGGCTCACCCCCATATTTCTCTTTATTATTGGTGATATAAGAAAACCATTTGGAATGCGTAGTTAGGTCGCTAAAACGGATTATTACGACATAAAATCATTCTTTTTGTACTTCCGGTTATACCGGATGTGAGAACTAATTTCGCTATTTTTTTAAATCTATAATTTTTTTTTCTTCAGTTGGGTAGACAGTATAATTTCACATAACTTTTACTTGAAAANAAATAGTTGTAGATAAAGTATAGTATTCAACTTGCGTATAATGGATGTTACCCACTCAGATTACAACACTCGCTCGCTTCGCTCGCTCGTGTTGCAACTTCTTCTTCGTGGGTAACAGCCGCCATTATACGCTTGTTGAATAATATACTATTATTCCCTAACATATTGTATTACACAACAAATAACATATTAATACTAGTTACAGTACAGTTATGTATTTTGAGAACCTCAAGGGGCGGTTCAACCCTTAAATCATGTTAGAATATAAACAAATTTGAATGCCTACTCTACCTATCCTAACAATCCGCAAACAAACTAAAGCCGAACGATAAGAAAGAAAAGTCACTATCACCTCGCATTGTTGTTAAAAATATATCTGTATAGGACATCCTTAAACCTTTCAATATTTTCATTCTTAACATCTTGAGGGAGAGAGTTGTACATGAAATATATATTATACAGGGTGTCCCAGACCACCCGTACCAGCCGATTTATTCGGAAACGGTGAGTCCTAGAGAGTTGAAATAAAAAATTCGTCAACTAAAGCAGACACCCTCCTTCTAGATAGTGTGTTACGACCGACCAACAACAACCGGAAGTGGGTGCAATTGAGTAGTACTTTAATATTTTATATGTAAAGAGGGGTCAATTACGATATCATCGTAAAGAACTCTTCAATAGAAATCTCTTTCGCTTGAAAAAAATTTTTATATTGCTAATCGTTTTCGAAATAATAAACCCTAATTGTTGGTACTTTTTACCGGTGTTATTTAAGTTGACAAATAGATGTCGCTATTCGTCGTTTTGAAAAATCGTGTAATTTAGAAATGGCTGGTTAATAACAAGAAATTGTTTTTACTAACAAAATGAATAAAATAACAAGGAGTTTTTTTTACCACAGAAGAATATTACAAAACACTAAATAATAAAACTTAATAAATTAAAGTAAAAATACCAGTTCTTATTAAACAAATGAATAAAATAACTATGGAAAGGAATTATTTGGACGACAAAACGACACAAAACGCTCAATCTAATAAAAAATTAACAAAATCAAGATAATAAAGATTATAAATGTTCAAATTGTCTACCATTTTGAGCAACACATTTTTCAAGCCGGAGCCTTACACTATCTACCGCATTTAAAATTTCTCTTGCACTTAAATTCTGACACGCTTCTTGAATTCTGTTCTTCATTTCTTCCTTTGTTGTTGGTCGATGTTTATAAACTAAATTCTTAAGTCGACCCCAAAGATAGAAATCAAGAGGGGTCAAATCGGGTGATCGTGCTGGCCACGCCACACAACCTCCTCTTCCAATCCATCGCCCAGGGAATTTTTGGTCACAAATCGCACGAGATACCGCAGCATAATGTGCTGGGCAGCCATCTTGTTGTAGCCACAATCTCCTCCTTATTGCTAGTGGAATGTCACCCAACAAATCATGCTGCAATGTGCCAGCAAGAAATTCCGCATACCTGCGACCATTGAGAGTGCCATCAAAATAAAAGGGCCCAATTATGGTGTCGCCCAAAATCCCGCACCACACATTTAGAGACCACAGATTTTGATTGTTCATTTCAACCATCCAATGGGGGTTAACTTCTGACCAGTAGTGGGCATTGTGCAGGTTTAACTGCCCATTACTTTTAAATGTCGCTTCATCTGTCCAAAGGATATTCCGATGAAAAAATTGAGTTTGGCCTAATAACCAATTACAAAATTGTAATCGGTTATTAAAATCTTGATCTCTTAATTCTTGGCAAAGATTTACATGATAAGCGTAAAATTTATTTTCTTTTAATATCCGTTGGACTGAGCTCTTGGTGATATCGAATTCCCTTGCCATATCACGGACGGATAAATGAGGGTATAACTCAACACCGGCTATTACCTCCGCTGTTCGATTGTCTTGCACGGTTCTTTTTATTCTGTGTCTGATGTTGTGATGAGGACGAACTACCCCAAATCGCTTAACTCTACAAGCAAGACGACTGAAGACATGACGACTTTGCTGTGGTCGGTAAGGAAAGCGCTCGGCATACAATCTTTCGGCAGCCCGAAAATTTTGTCTGCATTCCCCCAATAACATCAACATGTCATACGCTTCTTCATTGTTGAAAGGCATGTTGATGTTTAAATAAAATTCTAATTAGTTGTTCAAGATAAATACGAAGAATTGATAACTGCTAGTTTCACAAAGTTGACGTTCTGTCAATAACAATTAAATAATTTTATTTTTTTTTTATAATTTTTAATTTATTAAGTTTTATTATTTAGTGTTTTGTAATATTCTTCTGTGGTAAAAAAAACTCCTTGTTATTTTATTCATTTTGTTAGTAAAAACAATTTCTTGTTATTAACCAGCCATTTCTAAATTACACGATTTTTCAAAACGACGAATAGCGACATCTATTTGTCAACTTAAATAACACCGGTAAAAAGTACCAACAATTAGGGTGNTGATGAAGTCAGCTTATTTATTTATTTTTTTATTTATTTATTTATACAAATGGATACAGAACGGGACAAACCCTATAATACTGCATCACAACATTGACATAAAGAAATCAAACAGAAATATCAGCGCAATATAAGCCAGAAAAAATACATACAGAGACGCAAACCAAATGAAAATTATACAAAATATTTAAAAATATATATATATATATATATATAAGTAACAATTGACGAGTGAAATTCGATTAAATTCCGATTAAATTTAATGTAAAATGTAAAATTAGACAAACTATAATCAGACCGGTCCGGTCGGCGAGGCCAGTGCAGCAGTCGTCACCATACGTCTAAATACCGGATACGTGTACCGAAAAATGTCAATTGGGAAACGATCAGCCGCTCTTGCCATTTTCATGATTGGAGAGTGGAGGAACGCATTCGTACGCGCAGCCGGAGTGAAGAACAAAAAATTATATCGCAAATTTCTCGGTGCAACGTGAATATTAATCAAGCTAACGAGCCCGGCGCAATCACACTCATTGTTGAGAATTTTGAAAAAAAATAGCAAATCATTGCAGGTGCGACGCTGATGGAGGGACAGAAACCGTAAAGAAGCACAAGTAGAGTCGTAGTCATCATACACTAAATGAGATTTATAACACAAGTACTTCAAAAATTTTCTCTGCACCCGCTCCAATCTATCGATATGTATGTGGTAATGAGGATTCCACACAACGCTACAGTAGTTTAGAATACTGTAAACATAAGCAAAATATAGTGTTTTAATTGCATTTATGTTAGAAAAATGCTCAGTAGACCTAATAACAAACCCCAACATGCGCCAAGCTTTATTAACTACTCCATCAACGTGCTCTCTGAACAACAATTTCTCATCAAACATGACTCCCAAGTCTCTAATACAGGATACTCGTTGTATACCATCCCGATCAAAGTTGTAATCGAAATGAATGACATTTGATCTTCTACTAAAAGTAATAACATTGCATTTTGATCGGTTAAGCGTCATGAAATTAGCTTCGCAATACCGTTGCAACTCAACTATGTCCAACTGAAGCTTCGAGCAGTCGCGCGGAGACGTGATACGCAGAAAAAGTTTAAGGTCGTCAGCATACATTAAACATTGAGCATGTTTAATAACAGAGAAGATATCGTTAATATAAATAGTAAAAAGTAGCGGACCAAGGTGACTGCCCTGCGGGACCCCAGATGGAACCTGAATAGGGTCGGATAGATAACCATTCACTGATACAATCTGAGTTCTGTCCCGGATATAAGATGCAATCCAACAAAGTAAATTGCCATTAATTTCAAATTTTGCCAGCTTGTTCAGCAGAAGTTCATGATTCACTCGATCGAAAGCCTTGCTGAAATCAGTATAAATAGCATCAACTTGGTATAGTTGTTCAAGTGAGTTAAGAATATAATCCGAGTATAGTAGCAAATTGCTCACGACCGAGCGACCAGCGTGAAACCCGTGTTGTCTGGGGTCAATCATACTCTTAACAGCAAAAAATAAACGTTTATATACAAGCCTCTCGAAAACCTTACTGAACTGTGGCAAAAGAGATATTGGTCTGTAATTGGACGCATCATTACGGTTACCAGACTTGAATATTGGTATAACGTGAGCTTGCTTCCAGGCAGACGGGAAAACACAAGTACTTAAGGAGACGTTGTACAAAATAGTAAGGGGAAATGAAAGTGACTTGTAACAATTTT